CTCCAAAGATGCCCAAAAATACTCACACAACCAAAAAGAAGTCCCCAGACTATGTTTGGACTATTTTTGAATCTCCCCCCTGTAGAGGGACAGGCCCGACTTAATGATACCATCAGCGACGCACCATGAGGAACAAGAGGGTTTGTCCTGGGTCACAAGCAGGCTCTACGACATAAGTCTCAGGAGCGGCCCGAAAAAAAACCCTGCGGTTGATGCGGCGTCGGCGCACGCAAATGCTTTTAACACCGCGGACGATCATTCAACCTTGAATCGATCGGGGCCGCGATCGTTCAAGATTGAGTTCAGTCGGGTCCAGTGGCGTTACCGTGTCCATCGGTGCTTCCGCATCGCAGAATCTAACCCTGCACGCCTTCGCCGGCGTCGCAGGCGCGCCAACGCCGCATGAACCTACCGTAGAGCCTTTCAGGCTCGTGGATCGCTGTGGGAATACCCACAGAAGAAGTCCACACCGATGACAGTCGCCAGCCTGGCAGCGCCGGCCGCCGCAACTCTGGTTCGGACCACGGGGCGGGCCGACGAAGAGAAGCGGGCCAGGCAAGAAACAGAAACGGGCCGGAGAGCGAGGAGCCGAGCGAGAAGGGGAGGGGGCGAGAAAGGGAGGGGAGCGAGGAGGAGGAGGAGGAGGGGGAAGCGGAGGGAGTGGAGGAGGAGATAGAGGAGGAGGAGGAGAAGGAGGAGGAGGAGGAGGACGCTAAGATAACCGATGGTTAGCTTCAATAACAGAGGGTGGAGCCGCATCCAGCGACGGCCTGGTCCAAATCCCCCGCTAAGCGGGAAACCTGGTCTAGGCCGATGCCAGAAGCGGCTCGGGCGGGCCAACTAAGCCTCACCCCGCTTGAACTTCTCGAGGAAGGCCACACCCGTTGGCGCGGCCGGTTTGCATTATCTGAGAAGATTATGGGCGCTTCGGATGGCATGAGCGCCACACGTTAAGCACATGTATGTGCCCTTACTTGGTATGACCATATCACGTGATGGGTCAACGTAGCGTGCGCCTATGAACACATTGCTTAGAGAGCGGGCGCCCTCGATCCCCGCGCGTGGCAGCGCGCTCACGCAGGGTGTGGCTAAAAACTCCGTGGCTGCCTTATTACCGTGGGAGTTCGTAGATATAACCGAGCAGCACACACTGCAGGCGAACCGACAAGTGAGCCCTGTCTCGCCTACTGGGATCAAAGTGTGCGCACTCTCTCGGAGAAGTCTGGCAAGCTTCGGTCGAGGGTTAAAACTGGGCCCCGAAGTCTTTTTGGCCTGAGCTTTTGCTCGGACACGGGGCCTGGGCTGGGGTCCCGAAGACCCGGCAAACCTCGAAATAAAAATGTCACACGCGCGGGTCCTCACTGCGCGGGTCAGACTCAGCAACCTGGACGGCCTCGACCACACCTGGCGGGAGCTGGATCTGCTCGGACATTGCCTCCGCCAACTTATCTGCGATACGAGCACCAACCCCAGAGAACCACAGGACATCTTTTTTCAACAGCCTGCTGAGGCGACATGTGCGACTCGATCTTCAAGACTGTGGTCGTTTTGGCCCGTAGCAGGCGCTGAACCCGGCGCCAAACACTCCGATGTTGTTCTGGAAATATGTCGAGCTCGATTTTGGCGACGCTTTCCACAACATACGAGGAGTCCGTGACATAGATCAGAGGGTGGCCCAGCGGGGCCTCCTCCAGGAACTTTAGAAACGCGGCAAGCCCCCCGTGGTTGATAGATTGGGCCCCCCAGGTGCCTCCAGCAGACGCCCGAGCAGCTCTGAGGTCAGGAACGGGATCGGAGATATCGAAACCCTCGAAATCCATGAGCCCAAGAGACGCGTCTGAATCTTGGGCCTCCTGAGTACTTACCTCCAGAGGCGGCGCCAGCTCCGACAATAAACTCAACCCCTTGTGGGAAGTCGCCGAAGGCGTGGAATGAAATCTCGGCTTCGTCTGGAGGTCTTGGATCATGCGTCCACTCCGAAGGAGTGGGGCCTCGAAGCCACGCAGCTGGCTGCACCTCGACCTGGGCCCTTGCCCTGTGCGCGTAAAAATTGCCGCTGGCGACTGAGGGCAGGTCGTTGTTCGCAGTACATTCCCGAATCCTGTGAAAAGTCGCATCGACATGACCTCCGTCGCAGCGGTCGCATAACATCGAAAAATCTGGCGCGTCGATGACATATTTAATTCTCTGATTGGCCCATTGGCCTCCACAGCAAACGTTGGTGAGGGCTCCTGCCCATCGATAATGTTCGCGATCTCTAGCTCGTCGTATTTGTTGTCTAACATCCGAAAGGCCGATGCCGTATTCATTGTTTTCGCTCTCGTAGTGTTTAGCAGCGCGCTTCCATAGCATACGACGAACTGAATCAGCTAAATCTTCTCGGATGTCTTCTAGGTCGAGGGCCCCCTCTTCAAGGATCTCTGAAGTAGCCTGGTAGACATTCCCAAAATCAGATACCCAATGCATAGGCCCCACAAGATCCCAGTTTATGCCGAGCAAGGTGTTCACTACGGCCCCCGCGGGGCCCTTGACATTTCGCCATCGATGCTGTGAGTTAGCTCTGGCACGTGCAACATGTTCTGCTCAGTCTCTGGCAGCGAAACTTCTCTGCTCGACGCCTGCTGTGAGGATGGTCATCCAGCTGTCGGGCATGCGAACAGCTTGGCTGACGGCAGGGCCCTGCCCATTCATCTCGAGCTGGAGCAGGGTGTCCAAACAACGCCCTCTGACTGCAGCTGTAAAAGTACCTCCTATAGATCTTCGCCAAGACTGAATAGCCGAGGGGCCCATGCCGTACACGTGCGCATCGTACTGAACGTTGGACACGCTACCTCTATGTATGACACGCTGTGCTGCGTACCTGCCCGTTCTGCCTGAACCTTTGAGCTTTTTGGCTTTGCTGACTTCTTTCCATGCTGCTAGTATGCGCGCTGCTGCTTTAGGACGTGCCCGCATGTTTGCTCCACGATCGACCCCAAGATCCACATCTTTCTGGGCGACAGTGATTTCGATGTTATGCTGAGCAAGCCTACGTGCCAGTTCCGTAGCTCGCCCTCTGTCCCCTGCGATAAGTTTGCTTTTGCTTGCCATACTGAGATGTGCCTTGCTGCAAAGCCTGCCCAGTAGGGTACCTGCCTTGGTGAGGGCCTGCGTGAGGAACATGACGGAGCCGAATGCGTGTTGTGTGGCATCGTCTACCCAGGAGCTAGTGATGACCGTAGGGTAGCACTTGTAGTGTACAGCTTCAAAAAGACTATACACATAGAATCTGCCGAAAGCAAGGCCTCGTCGGGTTCCTGCAATAATGCTCTTGCCTGCCTGCACAGGTAAAGAAAAGCAGCCTTCCTCTCGAAATACACGCACAAGGAGATGGGCGAGACATTCCATCAGGAGGACGAGAGGCGGGAAATGGAAGGCGAGACCCTGCTCGAAGAGTCTCTCGTACTCGAGCGAGTCGTAAAAACCATCTATGTCCCAGAGCAGCCTGGATGAAAGTGTGAGTCGGACCCATCTTGGCAGCTTCGTCAGTGGAAGATCTGAATAAACCCACTCTGAGACATGATGAGCCACGTACTGCATTATCCCATTTGCCTGCCATCGTCTCAACCCACTCCGAACTGTAAATATGTCTCGCCGAGCTCCACAATCGAATAAAATCTGGGACCAATCCAATAGAACGATATGTGGTTGGTCCTTTTCTCAGAAAAGCGACGATGGTGGTCTGTATCTGCCACGGCCATCCTCCGCGAGATTCGCATTGATTCAAAACACGAGTAAGATGAGAAATGCCAGCTGGAGGTAAATACTTGAGAGTGCCACCCAACTGTTCGACGCCTGATGCTTTTTTGGAATTGATATGCTTCACAACTAATGCCACCTGTTCGTCCGTCAAAGGTGGCCAAGGATTGTCCCGAGCTCGTTGTTGGGCTTCCCGCAGAAGAGGGTACAACCGTTGCAAGGAAAGCATCGTGGAAGAACACTTGTTCTGCCACAGCGAACCCTTGCGATCCATGATGATCGGGAGGTTAGTGGAGCTGCCCTGGTCGTCGCGGAACTCCGTCTCAATGCGGGTTTTGGGCTTGACGTGCCTGTGAAGCTTACCCACATTGTGCTGAAAGGATGACTGCACCCACGACTGGAACTTCTGATAGCTGTCGCGTGAGGTTTTCCTCTCTAGTGACTGACATATTTTAATAGCGGAACGTCCCATCAACGAAAGAACTTCATCCGAAAAATTGTGTATGTTCATCAAAGCGCAAGTCCAATCATACCTGTCTCTGCCCACGACTTGTCCGTGTCCTGAGGTCGGCATGTCGGCTGGCGCCTGCATGAGACGATTAACCAAGAAACCATGTCTCGGCTTGGTCCTGACGATGTTTTTCGAGTCTGCGTGCAACGTAACGTGGGGAGGATGAGAAAAAGGGGAATGTCCTCCGACCTGGCTCCCGAGACGAGGAGGAGGAGGAGGAGGAGGAGGAGGAGGAGGAGGAGGAGAAAGAGGGGAGCAAGGAGCACGAGGCCTTCCGTACTTCCGCGTCTTGGCTGTACCGCGCTGCGTCCGCCGAGCGCGCGACGGCTCTCGTGCCCGGGACCTCTCTCGGCCCGAGCGCGGCCCCCCCCGTGGCGCGAGCCCGGCGGCCCCTGCAGTCGAGGGCTGCGGTGCGGGGCAGCGGCAAGAAAGGCCGCATCGTCCCCCCCCCCGCCCGCCGCGTCCTCCCGCTTGACCTCTCCCTCGTGGGTCTTCCGCCCCGCCCGCTCCAGAACGACGGAGGCCTGAGTCCTGATTTCGCCGCATCCCGCTCCGTTCCCCGCGTCCGCCTTCATCCCCTGTCACTCGTCACTCGTCTCCCTGTCACGGCACACTCGCTTCCCGTTAGGCCCTCTCCTGCAACTCTCCTCCTTCTCCCTCCTCCTCCTCCTCCTCCTCCTCCTCCTCCTCCTCCTCCTCCTCCGCCCTGGCCCACGAGGGATCTGCGCGGTGGCAGAGGGCTGGCAGCGAGGCCTTTTCAGCCCACATGAACATGTCTCCGTGGCTGGCCAGGGAGGACACTACGTACCTCGGTTCGGCCGACGCGGCAGAGCCCTAGGAAAAGGTAGTAGAAGGGGCGATCGAAACTGCGAGCTTGTGCATCAAAGGGAGGATGGTGTCGATGGGAAGGAGGAGGAGGAAGAGCAGGAGGAGGAGCAGGAGGAGCAGGAGGAGGGGGAGGAAGAGAAGGAGGAGGAGGAGGAGGAGGAGCAGGAGGAGGAGGAGGAGGAGGAGGAGGAGGAGGGAGTGCACGCGTCGAAGGGGGGAACGCGGGTGCAGGCCTGGCCCTCCGCGTCGGCGGAGCTGCTGAAGCCTGGCTGCGCTCCGAGGGTGCCAGCCTCGATCTCGCACCAGAGAGCAACAGGCGTGGCGCGAACCGCAGATCGTGGTAGCACTGGGACGCTCTGTCTATATAGAGGGAGTTCTATACTAGCTCGTGCTGGGGGCCTCCTCGAAGCCCAGGGACACATGGCGGCTCTCTCTATTTCCCCAGAGGACCCCGAAGAAACGGGGGGGAGCTCAAAGACCTCGCCAACGCGATCGGGAAGGCCAGGTCACTGTCGGTAGTGAAGGGGTGAATCAGAGCTAGCTGCACGGCAGTGAATACAATCCAGGGTGGGCCCCCGGAACCGAGCCAGACAACACCAGGCGTTGGACAAATATTTTAGAAGCGAAACCAGAACTGAGCAAGGAACTCGACTGGCCAGGCTCCTCATAGACATCAGCACGCGTTCGAGACCAACTGGATCCAATGAGCTTCTGCATGCAGAACACCATGGGCACGTGGAGTCCTTGGGAGGCCTGCAATCGAAACCATCTCTCAGCCTTACTCTGGATCCTGCAGGTGCCTGAAACTGGAGCCGACGGAATGGCACAAATCCGATCCAAGTTGGACATGAGGGTGAGCATCGGCGTCTCCTTCCTCAGCGGGTGAGATCCCCATGCGACGTTGCAGTCGCCACTCTCAGCCAAGGCGTGGATCCGCGTCCACGCCCCCCAGAACTCGAGGGAGTGCGCGCGCGAGCCTGCATAACGCAGCTCGCGAGACGAGATCGAGGCGGCGCATCTGACGCGGGAGGCCCATCTCTTCGATATTCCCGTGCATGGCAAGGCTGACGGCGTTGTTGGGGCCTCCCGCCAGGGCTTGCCCAGCCGCGCGCACGCTCTCGAAGGCCACGGGGGCAGGAGAGAAGCACTGCACCACATAGCAAAGACAGCTGAACGCGTTCTGGTTGGAAACGGCGATGCCTTTGGCAAGCCCGAGACCCAAGCTCTCGACGCCCCCTGCCCTGGCGAGGCATTTCCGAACAGGGGCGCTCTCCAAGAAAGATGCCCAAATACTTGACGGGCTCGACTCTGAACACCGAGTGGGGACCAGCGGCGAAGATGAGAGACAGGAACCAGTCGGGCGTCAGCCTCTGTAGGGGGATGATGACTGCCTGAGTCACGTTCAGATCAAGACCTGCAGCGGCGGCAGCGCACTGAAAGACAGGAAACAGCGGGGCGAGCGAGCGGCACGCATCTTGCGCGACCACGCCTACGCTGTCGGCGCAGGCAGCGAACAAAGATGGCGAGCGCGAAAGCCTCGACTCTAGCATGCGAGAGACTGGATCCGTACATGAAGCAAAAAGTGATGCTGATAAGTGGCACGCTTGTTAGGTGCCGCGGCGAGCCCGCCACCCGCCCCCCCTGAGGCCCACAGAAGTTGCCCGATATCCATGCCCCATACTTCGCGCTAGAGGGCAGCAGCGGCCTTGCGTACTTCCCGAGGGAAACTCATCTCTTACAAAACGGTCAGGATCATGGAGTGAGGCAGTGAGGCAGAATATGAAACGCGGCGTAAATCTCAATGGTCCCATGCCCTGCGCGCTGTAGACTGCCCTGGGTGAACCATTCAACTGCCCGAGATCCCCGGGCCAGAATGTCGTTGGTAAAATGCCGCCCAGGGATAAAACCTCGGTGTATTTCAGATCAGTTCTTGGAGAACGCGAGTGACAGGTCGGCGAGCAGCACGGTTTATCAGCTTGTTGCCAGAGCTGTCCAACGTAATCGGGCGAATCTGAGCTGGCGCGAAAGACTGCGCCGGCCGCGCCGTCGGGGCAATCTCCTTTCGGAAGGAAAACAGCCATGCCGTGGTTTGCCGGGCAGAGAGCTGGACAATTCTTGATACACTTAAACAGTGGCTTCATCGTAAGAGTGCATCCTGGCGACCACGCGCACTAGGGAATTCCACCGGGCCCAGGAGAAGAATCTTTGGCTTCCGCAGCAGACTCGTAGAATTCAAAATTCAAGTTCACAGAACATGTGAAGCGGCACACTTTGGGCGAACGGCTGCAATTCACGGCGACGCTGGGCTTCGCCCAAGGCGCAAGCATGTACTCGGCTCCAGCGCGCAGCTAGCTGGCGCGCTACTTCACGGGGCTCGGTAAGCTGCAAGCCAGAAGGGTCGGAAACACCCGACAGAGTGACGCCTCGCCGCCGAGATCCCCATGCACAGAAGTACGACGTCAGCATCGACTTCAAAGCATCCTTTTGGAAGGTGGGGAGATTGGCAGCTTCGGCCACACTAAGCTGCCCTTCGAAGCGAGCGGTCTTCAGCATGCGGAAGCACCCGTGAAAACCGAGCAGGTCGGCCAACGCGCCAGACCGACTGCAAATCTAAACACCAAGCTCGGGCGAAGCCTGCAGAGCGCGCTGAAGAAATATGAGGCGACCCTGCCGAAGACTACGCATAGCAGATAGAGACCAGTGAATCTTTGGGCCCCGCGACAGGGGGCCTCCAGAGCGGGCGCGCTCGATGGCAGCTCTGGCGGCAGCCTTGAAGACGCCCTCGGCTCCCCCGAGCGCCCCGCCAGCGTCGGCGTCCACGGGCCCGGCTTCTCCCGGGAACCTCCGAATGAAAATGGGGCGCAGCTGGCGCCCGGTGGCCCGGGGCGGGGCCCGAAAGCCTCCCGGCCGAGGAACAAGAAGCGTAACAGCAACTGGCGCAGGACCCGCAAGCGGTCAGTTGCCGTCGGGGGCCCAGTGGGCCGCGCTGTTCGGCTTACAGCCAAGGAAGACAGCACTTGGGATATCGCAGTAGAACCTATCTAGCTGCCCAAAAGCAGCACTGAGAGGGTGATCGCCAGAAATGCACATCACGCGATGGACGAAGTGGCCCTGCTCAACCTCGCAGCACTGCGGGGGCAATTCGCTCGAAGAAATCGAGAGACTGCGAGCGCCGCATCGGGCCCACCCCGCAGGGTGGCGCGACCCCCCCTCAGCATGCAAATTAAAGCCGCCCAGCAAGAAGATGCGCAAACACCGAGCGGTAGCATGTGCTGCTCCGCAGCTCGCCCTTCATGCGAAGGCTTGGTTGGTCGGGATTAACGCGCGTGTCGACGACGCACGCGCTGCCGCGCCTGCCGTGGAGGGCGAGAGAGCGAGCGCGACCAGGGACGATTATGCAATGGCAGGAAACTTGAAACTGCGAGCGGAGGCGCGGGTGAACAAAAGTGAGACTGCCACCGGCCGAGCGACCCTCGAAGAACGTACCCGAGCCCAACGCACAGCTGATATCCTTTTTGAATAAATCCAAGTCAGGTTTGACACCGGGAGCCTCTCGAATACAGACAACATCGTTTAATGACCACCTGGCGCAAGGCTTTCAATTTTGTCTCAACATGCCGTGGCTGGCGGAGGGGCCTCCGAACAAAGAGCGAACACTCCATGCGGCAATCGGGATCGCTGCCGGGGTAAAAAGGCTCGGCAGGGCACGGGCGAGGACGGCCGCCGCGGCCGAGCGAGGGGGCGAACAGCTGGAACTGGTCGAGCTACCGTTGGAAGCCGAAAAGGGAGAAGGAGAAGAAGAGCACGGAGAAGTCGAGCTCGACGCCGCGTCTTGCGACCCGCAAGAAGGCGCCCACGCATGCGACCATCGTCGTAAGCAGACTCATGAACGGGCGTGGTCGGCGAGGGAGGCCCCTATTCGATGGCGCTCTTGACCATCGCTGCCGTCTGCTCTGTGCCAGTCTGCAAGCTCTCGAAGGCTGCCAAGTGGAGCTCGATGGTGGCAGACAGATCAGGGTCCTCCATCAGTGTGCACAGGATAGCGGCCTCGTTGTTCATCCTTGCGCCCATTCAGTCCAATGAAAAATCCTGCCGGGTACCTTTGGCGACAAAGTGCTGCGAGATACCCTGCCAAACACGTCCAATCATTAAATCACGACGGCGAACGTCGGGCCTGGCGCGGCGCCTCGCAAGAAGCTGAACGGGACGCTACCCGGCTAGAGCGAGGGACCGTTGGTCTTGACAAACTCCAGGAAGGCGTTGGCACCGGTGGCGCTGCTGAACGAAACGCAGAAGGCTTGGATTAATTTGTGAGCCTTACATTCAGTGGGGGGCTTGATGTGCGAGGGCAGGTGCGGGATCAGTTGCGTATTCATGCGCTGGTTCATGACACGAGCGAGCATCGGAGACTTGAAACCACCAACCCATATCTCACGCGGATCCGCACCATCATCATCATTGTTTCAACCTGTGAGTGTCGAGTGTGGGAAGATGGCTGCGACTGCTAGCTGAATCGGCGGAACTCTGCACCTCCAGGATCTTGGCCTCGACCTTCGCGGGCAGGGCCTTCTCCTTGCCCCCATCAAAGCCAACACTAGTATGCCTCTCTATGGTCGCCATGCGATCGCACAACTCGACGTACATGTTATCGTGTCTGTTGATAAACCTTTGCATGACCCAGAGGTCCATATTTGTGGCCATGTTGGACTCCACTCTGCTGAGAATAGCAGGGATACCTTCACCTCCTTCTTCTGTACGAGGCCTCATTTGACGAGCGATACCGACGGCGTCCGGGTCTTTCTCCAGGCCCTTGGCGTCACCAGCGACTTCAGTGAACGGCGTAGCTCCAGTCGGTGCGGCGGTGCAGGCGATGGTTGCGTCAACGGGCTCGCCATCCGAGGAAGCAACCTCCATGGCGGGCGCGGGAGACTGAGGGAGAGACATGTCCGCCTGGGTACGACACCCAAATCGCCCTCTGGA